CATTGGTATCCTCAACATTTTATTTAAATATTTGTGTATGTTTCAAAAGGAAGACATGTATGTCTCCATGTGTTAAACATACTTGGACAAATACATCTCATGTATTCGACCTAATTGAGTAAACAAAACAAGACCACATATTTTTATGTATAAAAAATGTTAACAAACATGACATCTCAAATTTTATGAAGCTAACATATGATAATAACTTTTTGCACAAGCATTTCTTTTATGTTCAACACATAAGTATGATGCATGCAATTGTCCAATGAATAAACTTATTCTAACATATATGAAACTTGTAATTCACGATTTTATGGTGTGTTTTCATGAGGTATTCAACATTATAAGTACAACTCGTTACATAAACATGATGGTGCATGCAAATATCCAAAGGAAAATATGTGCCTTGTTGCATGGTGGTCCATTAGGTGATGTGCATGGCTGGATGATGGCTAGTTTTGTATCTTGCTTGGTTGTTCCATGGTTCAAGAGATGTAAAGTGGTAAGGTGTCACCACAAATTGTAATTCTCTCCCCTCTCCCCTTTTTTTTTTTTTTTTTTTTTACTTGCCCATAACCGATTTTATTAATCTAGGGGAGGGTTTTCGGCTTTAGGGTGGCTGAAAACACCCCTCCATGATGTATTTGGTCCTTGTGGATTTTTCATGAGAATTTTCGATTTACAAGTGGGCATGAACTTTCGGGCTTAATTTGGCCCATTAAAGGGGGTTTTCGGTCCAATAAGGCCCAATGAGAAAGGGTTTTTGGCCTAGGATATTTGGGTCCAGAACTCCTAATCACAAGCCCAACAATTGTTTTGTTTAGTTATTAGATTAAACTTGAGCTTGTAAGAGGATGCTACAACTTGATTCTTAGTGTGTGCACATATGTATTCAAAGAATGTTGTTGTTCTGAACTTCAATAGTTCAATGAAATAGGGTTACATAGAGAAAATATTGTACAAGAATCACAATCTCAACCCTAAATTTGCTAGTTGTGACAAAAAGAAATTGAATTTATAATCAATTCCAGATTTAAATAGATTAGGGAATGATTCACGATTGTTAGCTCTCATAACATCCGAATTGACTACTAGGTTGAATCTTTGAACATGATTTGAACTTAAGATTATGAAATCCAAACCTAAATTATGAACTAACACTAAACCAATGTCTAAATTCAATTTTAGATGGATCAATGGGTGATTAAAGTCTGGGCTCAATGCAGAGATCAAAACTTCCAAAACACAAATTGAGACATGACAAATGGATTAACACCGATAGATTGATTAGTGTTCTAATGATTAAATCAAACTAGAAGCATCATCTAAGCATTAAGAAATCTAGGGTTTGGGGAAATTCCCAACATTAACTAATTTTTTTTTAAAACAAGTGAGAGTTATACCTTCTAATGCTTCAATAAAGCTATCCTACTTTTTCACTTTGATTTCATTGAAGTTATCCGAAATGTTGGAACCCAATTAGTGTTGGATAATTGAAACTAGTTATTAACCAATATGGAAGAAAAAAAAAAGTCAGTTTGAAAGAAATGCAGCTTTATTGCTCTTAAAAATGTAATTGTGCACCTCTAAAATCTTGATTGAGTGGCTAATGGGCCTTCTTAACACTGTTTTGGGCTTATCAATGGATCAGTAGGTCATATGTGTTCTTTATCTCTGGATGGGCATTAATCAAGTAAATCCCTAGTTTTACAAGAAAAAAAAAAACAGTTTTTGATGTAACAAATATCTTTGATTATTTCTATTTACAATTAAAACCAATCTAATTATCTATTAAAAATTATTTACTTTCTAATTTACCTATATAATCAATCTAAACCCAACTTTTCACATCCATTAGCAAACAAACCCAAACCATACTATTATATTAGTTATGATGATTAATTTTACTATATTATACAAGCTACATAGTATGTTTTATTCAATTTATAACCTAGTTTTTTATTATTTTAAAGATTATATAGACAATATTAAAAAATTATTAAAAAAAATTCTTAAAATATATCAATATTAGTCTTTATTCGTAGATAAAATTATTTTACGTATTTTAGTATATTTTGTTAATTTTTTAATAAAATTAAAATAAAATTATTACAAAATAATGTGAAAGAATTATAAACAAATAAAAAAAGAAAAGAAAATGGCAACCGATGGTTGGTGCACCAATGCGACCGCGGTAAGTTTTAAGTTTTTTCTTAGTCTTTTTTGATTTTCTTTTTGATAACAAGTTTTAATTATTTGATGAAAATAAACAAATACTTTTATTAAACAGGTGAGTTTTAAGCTTTTTCTTAGTCTTTTTTGATTTTCTTTTGATATTCAGTCCAACCAACTAAAACAATTGGTCACTAATAGGAGTAGAATTACCAATTTATCACATTGGAAGGGAAATAAGGTGATTATTCCAAAAAGAAGTGCAGCATTATTTTGTTGCAAATTGCAATATATTTGTTGAACAGGTTTTAATTATTTGATGAAAATAAACAAATACTTTTATTAAAAGCATTAACGAAAACAAGCATATGATTATGAAGGAGTTGACTGCTACACAAATTAACATTAAGATAACATACACACACAGTTTGGTTGTAAGAAGTAATTAAGAGGGCTACAATGGTAATTAACAAGTTAAACAACAATCCTATCGGTAACTCCCCTGACGGAATCCTCTGGTGACTCTGAAGGGAACACCAGATTGTCATATACAACACTCGCCATGGCTGCTCCAAGCAAAGGTCCGATCCAATAAGCTGCTTGATTCTTGAAAGTTCCACCAACAAAAGCTGCCCCGAATGAGTGCGCCGGATTCATTGACCCGCCTGTAAATGGTCCGGAAGCCAATACATTTGCTCCGGCTATCAAACCAATTACCAGTGGTCCGATCGTCCCAAATGCACCTCGCCTTGGGTCTCCGGCAGCATAAACGGTGTACACCAACGCAAATGTCATTACACCTTCCAGAACCGACGCCCCAAATCCCGTCATTTCTGATGGAATAAACCCATGAACCGGAACACTCTACACGAAAATTCAGGTTTACACAATGTTTTCAATGAATTCAGTGACGTTTAGATCTGGAATTGAATACTTAAAGATATGAAGAGCGCAGATTCAAATTTTGAGTGTACCGGTGAAACGGTAAAGACTTTTAAGAGAGCACAGGCTATGACAGAGCCAAGCATTTGAGAAATCCAGTAGAAGATTGCCATCGGGATAGTGATGTGTCCTCCCACCGCCATTCCAAACGTCACCGCCGGATTCACATGGCCACCGGAGATATTGACGGCTACATAAGTCGCGACTGACAGTGAAAAGGCAGTTGCAATCGCTGACGCTATCAGACTAGAAGGACAAATCATTGCGGCTTCCGGCGCCATCTTCCCTACAAAATGAAGCAAATTCCATTAAAGTTCGGAAGTTGAGAAGAAAAACCGTTTTATAGAGAGATACTTGAGGCCATAGCGGAGCCAACAGCGGCGAAGACGAAGAAAAAGGTGGACAGGAACTCTGCAAGATAAGATCTCAGTGCTGCGGGAGTGTAGGAGTGTTGCAATCTGGTTTTCAGAGACGCCATTGATGTTGAAATGAGAACAGCCAGTTTTAATTGAATGTTGCAAATGGTTGTGAAGACGCTGTTGGGGAGTTTTTACAGGTTTCAATGCCGTGTTTTCAAATTTTAACCGCCATTTACACGTGGACTTTTATAATTGGTTACAATGGATCTTTGCGGTTTGAACGGTTGTGGCGTTACTGATGAAATTACTCATTTACCCCCTTGTTTTTGCTTGGCTTTTATACTCTTCTATGAATTTACAATGTGTTTTGTTTGAGAAAATAATGTTAGAAAATACAAACCCTATGATACTACTTACGTCCGTAAAACATATTTACTATATTATATCATATGATCGAATAACCAAAAAAAATAAATTGTTTTACATGATTGTATAAATTATAAATGTGAATCTGATACACATAGTTTACAAGATTATTAAAATGCATGCATTGCATTTTTTTTTTAAGACCGACCTTTTTTATACCAATAAAACATAGTATTTATTTTGCTTTTAAATGTACATCATTTTCTTTTCAAATTCATTTTCATTTATTTTGTAAATTATAATAAGAATCATGATGTTTGCATTAAAAAAATGAAAAATAACATACTTCCATTTATATGTTTATCATTGCATCCTATTTTTCCACACTATAAGGTTTGAAGGACCACCACATCAACATTTCATTCTTTCATACAATTTTATTATTAAAATTTTATAATCCATTGAAATCTCCAAAATCCAATGGAATTTATTTAGGTGAAATAAGCAAGAACGTGTGCACTTTTTCATTTAATATCAAATTCGTTATATTTCAACTTGAAATCCCACTATATTTCTTAATCCACTCTTCCATTAAATATTCATTGTGAATGCTCTTACAAAAGTTTACTTTTGAACAAACAAAATCTACTCAATCAGTCATAAAGTAATTTTCAGTGGTATAATTGTGTAAATTTTCAATGTCAAAATTACACTGCCTTAATAGAAGAAAAAGAAAAGTATAATTAAGTAATAGAAAAGGTGAAAATAAGTTCCATAAAACACAAATAAATATAAGTAAAAAGCTATTTGTTGCATTTAGTGCTTAAAAACGGTTAGCTGTTAATCCATGCGGAATTACGGACCATACACCATACTTTTTCACAATTTTAATCTTTTTATATTATAAACCACCATTTTTACCATTTTATGTAAATAAAAAAAGGTACCATTTTAAACATTACAACTGTATCATTTCGTGGCATCTAATTAAAATCGTAAAAGAGGCAAGTTACATTTTTAGATAGCTTGTACCATTTTAAGGTCCATTACATGATTAAAAATATATGTTGCATAGATTGATAAGATAGTAGATGTATGTTGCTTTTTTCTGTTTCTTTTTCTGCACTCTTAAAAAAATAACAAGTAATACTATAGTATATATATAATATATTATATATGATTCACTAAGGCATTTAAGTAGCATTAACACCAAGCTTAACAGGTAGATTCAATTACTATATTATATGACTACTTTAACTCTAAGCTTTTCAAGGTGATCCATCAACAACCATTTTATCACCACATCCTAACCATTGCTACTCCACCCAACCCAATTACCAAAAATAAATCACAAAGCTTGCATCTCCAAATGAGCACCATGATCATGCCCATTAGCAGACTCTTTCTTCTCTCCATCGGTGTTCATCACTTGAACAGGTGGCGCATTCACAATGGTCATTGGCATGACAGCATCATCAGACAGCCGCCCCTTCATCTCCCTGTGTTCTTGACATAACGCGCACCAATGCATGCAACAGTGCACCAAACACGGATCACACGGTGAGTTCTGCAAATAAATAAATAAATAAAACAGTTATTTTTTCAGCAACCCCTGAGGTGGCCCACACTGCAGATACACAGTGGCCCAGTACATTAGGAAGTGTGAGCACAACCTTGAGATGGTATTTCTTTTGTAATGTTTGTCTGACAATTCCAGTGTATATACCACAGACCCACCAAGTGAAAAGCAATCCCTCACAAATGAGAACCGATGTTTGGGGTTCGATCCCATGAAATGCGGCTGTTGCTGCAGCAAGTGCCATGCCACCCTCAACGAAAACTGCATGACAAACACATGGTGTGGTCCAAGGCATGTCTTCTCTTAGCTTCTCATAGTTGCGTCCAAACAGAACACATGGGCAAAAAAGTCCTGTCCAGCCTGCATGCATACAAAACAAACATTATTGTCAAATTCTTGACTTGAGTATGTTTTAGGAATTGTGAATTCCATTTCCGGGATTGGAATGGAACTGAATTCCAATTCCGGCCAAATTCCATGGAAGAGAAATATGAATGCTGGTGGTATGATTCAAAGTGAAAAACTTACAGCTTTCAGTATCTTCAGCACAACCAAATATCCCAGTTGACCAAGGTTCAACAGCAGGAGGCTCGAAGCTCTCTGGTAAAGCCTGCCCACATTCATTGCATTTGCGAACATTCATCTGTAAATCAAAACAAAGAATGAAACAAGTTATATGCAAATATAATATTAAACAATAATCCACCTGCTCTTTGAAAATTCAATTATTACATTGTGTGTGTGTTTTTTTTTCCATTGGAACAATCGCACTATCGATGATCGATCTATTACAACAGAAGATCACACAAAAGTTATATAAGCACACAATCAACTGGTAGATTTGTATATCCAAGGATTAAAGTGCATTGTCCAAATGCAACTTGAATTCTGGTCCGCGCTGTGTGATAATTAGGGTTTTTATAAGCAAGTGAAGTCTACATCAACCAATGTCGTGACTCGTGATCATTTTACTATGTGTCAATTTCGTTAATAGATCGTTGAAATTCACAAAGCATGATGTCAATTGACTAAACCTATAGAACTATTAAATGGATCCATCAACCAGAGATGCGTACAAAAGACAAATTGCAATGAAACCTGAGGAACTTCAATTGGCTGATTGAGTTCTCCGGGATTGATATCGACCGGCGCTTGATCTTTGTTTAACTTCACATATCGCGATTGATTTTCGGCATCCGCCATCTGGTGCAATGCGCGGGCAAACTCCAAGTTAGTGAAAGCAAATTCGGATTATAAGCATATAATACACGGATGAGAGGAGGGTTAGTAGTCACCTGACTGTGTTCGATAATTACTGAAAATCAGAATCTGAGTTGAGAAATGTCGTCGATCTTCGGTAGGCGTAACTGAGAAGGGTTTAATGGATGGACTCCGAGAGAGACGGTGGAATAGGATTTGTGAAAGAAAAGTCCAAGGAAGCTCCAATCCTCTGTGGGTGGTAACAATCCAGTTTACTGTACGTATAATAATACTAAAAATGGCACGTTTCTAAATAAAATTAATTTTAAAATTCCATATATTTTTGTAAGGGATATTAAGTTTTTTTTTTCTTTTTTTTTGGAATAAACTTACTTTTTTATATTTTGTTTCTTTATACTTTTTTCTTTTTATTTACAAATTTTCATATTTTGTCTCTTTGTACTTTTTTTCTTTTTATTCACAAATTTTTATGTAACCTTTTAATTTTTTCTTTTCAATTTTTTTCAACTTTTTTGAAATTTTCTAAAATGAAATGGAACGTTGCTAAAACAAAAACAAAAAATAATTTTAAAATTCCATATATTTTTGTAAGAAAAATGTTATAAGGTAAAATGAAATGTTTTTTAGTTAATTTCAGATTTTGGATAAAATAAAAAAATGCACTCACATTTTCATGTTTTTTTTTCTTTTTATTTATTAACTAGAAATTCTTCCACCACCGTTTCGGGACTCATGTTGTGAGACTACTTATTTCCATTTTGCGGGGTCATAGTTTAAAATTGGGTCATAGTTTAAAATTTTCTTTGTTGCAAGGACAATTTTTTTAAACACATTGACCAAAGAGTATATTATTTAAACAAATAGACAATTTTTATAAATAAATAAATAAAAACAGCACATTTACATTTTCAGTATATTACTGGGAGAACTTTTGTAATTTATTCTCTATATAGCAACCAAACATGTCTAACATACGAAAATATTGATGCCAAAATTTTAAACTCAAACATAAAAAAAATGCACACATACATTTTCTACAAATTATGGAGATGATTTTTATAATTTATTTTTTATACAGGTACCAAACATATTAATATACGAAACTATTATTGTCAAAATCTAAGACATAAAAGGATACTATCCATAGACCACTTGTTTTTATTATATATAACTAGTAACCAAACCTTAGGCCTCGCCCAGGTTAGTTATTATTATTATTATTATTATTATTATTATTATTATTATTTTACAATAGAAAGTGACATGGACTAAACTTCCAAAATATGGAAAGTATTGTGGCTAAATTTTGAAAACCACAAAGTTTTATAATAAGGGGCTAAAAGTGTGAGAATCGAAAAGTTTAAATATCCAAGACAATGGAACTTTACTATTCCTTAAGCTTCTAAGAATTAATGGACTAAACTTGCTAAAATGTGAAAATATTTTTAAGACCACAAACTTTTGTAATAAGGAACCAAAAGTGTAAGAATGGAAAAGTTTAGTGGCAATTGTCAAAAACAAAGGAAGGCTAAATTTGTAATGCCATGTTCCGAATCGTTTTCTAATGTGGGGTGGTGATTGAAGATCGGGTATCATCCAGCTTAGGGCCTTTAAGGAAAATGGATTTAGACCCATTTGAGTGTAGATAATGTAATTTAGATGATTCGGGAGTTCGGTTTGTGTTTTAGAGCTAAGGGGTATTTCGGTAAAGTGTTAGTTCGGACTTTTATGGAAATTGGATTTTAGTTCAGGAAGTTTTAATGCAAGTATGAGTTGATAGAAACGTAGAGATTCTCATTACTTTTTGTGGATATAAGGATTGTCGGAAACAGACTTATAACGAAGAATTTATGGCCTCATAAGTTTGGTGGTTTTAGGGTTTAACCGAGTACGTGGGGCGTACACAAGTGTATGCATGACATACTAGTGAGAAGGCCAGTATGCGGGGCGTACATTGGGCGTACGCTGGGAGTATTAAGAAAAATGATCTTGCATACCTTATGGAGTACGCTGGGCATACCAGAAGTACGTAGGACGTACTCCAGTCAGACCCAACCCCTAATTTAGGGTCTTAGACCCTATTTAAGTTCCTTAACTCACCACCAAACCCTATTATCTTCATCCTTCATCCCTCTAAACCGTAGAATCGAAACCCTAACCCTCATTTGAGTGGTTTTTAAGCTTTGGGTGGTGTTTCACATTTTTTGGTGTTCATAGAAGAAGAAGGAACTTCTTGGAGAAGTGTGGAATTTCTTGAAGCTTTTGGATCCAGGCTTGTTGCATCTTAATCTACATTTTGGAGGTATAAAGTTTCTATCTTGATCACTCTAGGTGTTAGATCTAGTTTAAGGAATATTTTGGGTTCATTTTGGTCCATAGAGTCATCCTTGTTAGTATGAGCTACTCCAAGAGCTTAGAATGTTGGATATTGGCATTTGGGAGGTCCTTGTTCATAAAGATGTGATTTTGATGAATTATTTAAGTCTATACATGAGTTTAGATGTTTATTATGGATGTTGTTAAGGATTTGGTCCCTTTAAGCCATGTAATGGAGTAAAGTTGCAAACTTTATGTGTTAAGACATCTCATTAGGGTCATATATGAGCTTGGAAGTCATTGGCTTAACCATTAAGAGCTTAATATGGATTTTTGGTCCCTGATGAGTATGTCGGGGGTACGCAGTAAATATATTCAGCGTAATGAAGGGTTTGTGCATCAGTCGCTTGTACTCTGTGCTTCGAGGGTAAGTATGCGGGACGTACCATTCTGGTATGCGGGGCATACTCCCCAGCTTGTCATTTTGGGCTTTCTGAGGATTGGGTCTTATTGGGTCATTGGACTTCTGACTTTGGGAAATGGATGAACTTGGGGTTTTCTTGGAAGTAGGTCCATGATGGTTTTGGGGCCCAATCGGATTATGAGTCATAATGGGCTTTTGTTGCTTTTGATTTGGGCAGTGGGTTGCCATTTTGGGTTTTTTTGCATTTGGGTTGGACCTTGGTTACGAAACAAGTAAGAAAATGGTAATATGGTGTTTTACCCTTTAGGATGTTAGTTTATGGAGTGGGCATCGGATTTTGGGTTAATTATTGATTAAGATTGTATTTATTGTTAGTTGGCGCGGGGCCCAGTGATTATTTTGTATGTTATTACATGTGTTATACATGTATGTTGTTGTATGCTGGGCGGGGCCTATTATATGAATCTAGGTGGGGACCGTTTTGCTAGTCTGGGCGGGGCCTGTTATGCAAGTCTGGGCGAGAACTTTGTAGTTAAGCGTGACCGGGCGAGAGTAATTCAGGGATGGGTGACCCCCTGGGAAGCTTTCATGGCGGGAGCCAAAAAGGGCAATATTGTGATACGTGTCAGAGGGGGATGTTATAAATGGTATCAGAGTTGGGGCACGGGTCGATGTGTTCGACAGGGACGTTGAACCCTATAATGAGGAGAGAAGGTGGGTTGCACCTGATCCCACATCGATTGGGAAGGAGGACTAAGCATTCCTTATAAGGGGTATGGATACCTTCCCTATAACAACGCGTTTTAAAGCCGTGAGCATAGCAGATCCCATAAGAGCTCTGCAGTTAAGCGTAACCGAGCGAGAGGAGTTCAGGGATAGGTGACCCCCTAGGAAGTTTCCGCGCCAGGAGCCCAATGCGGACAATAGTGCGATACGTGCCAGAATGGGATGTTATAAATGGTATCAGAGCTAGGGCATGAGCCGATGTGTTCGACATGGACGTTGAACCCGATAATGGGGGGCGGGGGGGAGTGAAGGCTGGTTGCACTTGATCCCACATCAGCTAGGAAGGAGAACTAAGCATTCCTTATAAGGGATGTGGATACCTTCCCTATAACAACGCGTTTTAAAGCCGTGAGGGCAGCAGGTCCCATAAGAACTATGCAGTTAAGTGTGCCCGGGCGAGAGCAATTTAGGGATGTGTCATTGTTTCTTTAATATCTGATGTTTGAACACTTAACATTTTTTTTGCTAATCTTAAGGCTTTGCAATTTGACCAAATATAGTAGGAACTTAATGAAGCATTCATAATGTATTGTCTACTTCTATTAGGAACAACATGTAGAATATGTCTGAAATCACCTCCAAGAACAATTGTTTTTCCTCCACATGACAAATTTGAGTTGCTACGAAGATCACAACTTAATATATCCTTTAAAGATCGATTTAATGCTTCAAAGGCATGCTTATGAATCATAGTTACCTCATCCCGTATAATCAGTGATGTTTTTTTTTTTAAATTCAACAACATCACTATTAGGCGTTATACAACAAAATGAATTATCGATAAGATTTATAGGATTTATAAAGTGAGAGTGTACTGTCCTACGTCCTATCAATAACAATGAAGCATTACCACTTGAAGCAACATTTAACATAATTTTACATTTTTATCTAATGGTGGTAGATAATGTTTTCCAAATAAATGTTTTCCTGGTACCTTCATAATCATAAACAAAAAAATATCCTCCTTTCTTTTATTGAACATTTATCATAATATCAACAAAACACATAGTTATTCAATTGTTAATGAATCAAGTAGTTGATGAAACTCATTCAAAAGATTCTTGATAAAATCTAGCTCCTCAGTTATCAAACAATTATTTGAAAAAGATACAAAATTTTGATGAGGGTAAGACATTCCATCAAAAAATTTAAGGGTTGAATTGTTCTGCAATAATTTTTTTTCAATCTCATAAATTGTCAAGTTCTTTACTTGATCCTTTGAAAACGTTAAACTTGTACAAATTAGTAGTTACTTTTTTTTAAAGAGAAATAAGTAAAAGTAAAACGTAGTAATAATAATAATAATAATAATAATAATAATAATAATAATAATAATAATAAGATTTTCTTAAATATAAAAAGTATAGTAATTTTTGTTGATTAAATATAATATATTATGTAAGAAATATTTAAGTAAAACTTTTATTTAAATAATGAAAAATATCATAATACTTGGTGATTCTAATATGAATTGTTGATCGTAGAGAATTACATCAAATAAGTATTGTCAAGTATGTTATCAAACAAAATACTGTCTAGACGAACTATTAGACTTTAATATAGTTGCAAATAGATAATGCAAATAAAAGCAAAACATTGAACGACTTGTTTCCTCACTTGCATCAATATATTCCCTATTATCTTCCAAAAATCTAAAAGCGTAACAAATCTCTCTAAAAGTAGCATATACGTGTCCATTAACTATATGTACGTCTACAAATGATTTCAAACCTTTGATTTTATTTAAAAGAATTAGTAAAAAAAATATGTTTCATCAAGATTAGAAAAAACTTTATGAATTTGACCGATAGAAAATTCCTTTTTGGCTTGGCTCCCAATGACACTCTTGCAATTTCCAAACAAATCTCGTAGGAAATTCAACTAGAAAGTTTTTGTGCTTCCTGATTATGTTCATTATACTTCATCCAAAATGAAAACATTAAAGAAGAAACAAACAACTTGTTGAGGACATCTTTAATAACATTATTAGCACCATATACAAACATTTTGTTGCCCGAGAAGATGAAAAGGAAAGCTCACAATGGAAGGAGTCCTGTAATGAACATCAAATCCAAATATATACCACGAAGACTTACCTACAGGCAAATATGTACAATCATAGTAGTTTTTTATTTCATCAACTGTGTCGTCATTATGATCTCCATTGTTGCTTTGTATAGCTGCAAGAGTATCCATACCAGGACCCTTGTTAATATATTTAAACAAATATTTGATGGATGCAACCTGATTACACCACTCAACATTAATGTGAGATTGATATGAGACGATTATGTATGAAATCATATATAAATGAAAGAGATTGGAAATTCCATGATCAAAAGAAAAAAGAAATTCAATGTTTGATGCCATACTAAAATTAAATCGATATAACAATCAACATTTCATATATTCTACATGAGCAATTATTCAAATGCAATGAATTTGCTGTCAAATTGAAATGCGTTCATTAAAACGATATGTTGTTTGTCTATATCAACTTAAACTAAGGATTTTCTTCTTATTATATTAAAATATTAATTAGGTGACATTCATAAATAATTGAAAAATACAAATTAATGACAAGTGGAAAATAATTAAATGAAAAATATCATAAAAATTTATGTGTCAAAATGAAAGAGAAAAGGACATGTGATAAATAGTTTTTGATTTATTAGGTTAAATAACTGCGAAAATTGTGTCATATATACTCGATCAAATAATTTTTAGAGTGATATGAGTTTTTTAATTATGAAATCAAAAAAGACTAGTTATAGATAATCATAATTGGATGGAAGTATGTTAATATTATCCTTTAATAACTTAATTCCATTAAAAAAATAATATACTAAAACCGGAAGGAGTAATATTATTTTTGTATTTTTTTTGTTTGTCACATCAACTTCATCTTAACGCTACCTCAATGTTACAATTTTTTTCTTGTCACACGTTAAGAAAGGAACCATGATATGAGTTAATTATTTTTTTTTAATTGTTTTTAAACATTTCAGTTTCAATAAAACTTAAACTTCATTAATTTCAACTAAAAATACATAACAATAAATTAAAAACCTAAAAGCTTAAAAAGAACATAATATTAAATTAAATAAAAAAAAAAAAAAACTAAAAATAACAGAAAGTCGAAGGGATTAAATTTGGTTTTAGATTGAAACTGGGGTTGTTGTTGTGGACGTTTTTGTGTATATGTATATGGTTATGGATGTTGTTGTGTATATAGTAGCATACTATCATAATGATAAATGGACGACGAGTAAATTGGTCGATCAAATGAATGGCCTGATGTGTTTCTTGCGAGAGTTTTCTGGTTGTTTTGAATGTTTGAAGAAGACATGATTTTAAATTCTAGAAAGATAGAAGTAGTATTATAAAGCGATAAATATATATATTTTTAAGTGTGGTAAAATTGAATGCTATAAGGTAATATTTATAATGTAAAAGAAAATTTAAATTAAATAATGAGAGAGAGAGAGAGAGAGAGAGAGAGAGAGAGAGAGAGAGAGAGAGAGAGAGAGTCATGCACGGCCTAGCCCACACACCAAGGACAATGTGTCGTTATGTGACATATTATGGTTGAAACCGTACCTCTTCCATCAAACCTAATATAACTAAAATATAAGCATCATAAGAAAACTATTTTGGTCAATTCAGTAACGTAGTTTTATCTAGTTTTTCGCCATATATACAACAAGCAAACTGATAATGCAGATTTTATAATAAATTATGATGCATGAATCATGATGATCAAAATAACTCAAATTTTGCCCATACTTCAAGTTGGCCAATTTCTATACCATCCAGCCCATGCAGACACCAGCCCACTAATCCCAAGTGTTACAGCATGATTACAAAATGGATTGGGCTCGATATCAGCTAAGCCAATGATCAAATCAGCCAAATTAGCAGCCACAGCCATTAATCTCATCACTCTATCAGCCCTAATCTTCTTAATTTCATCACCTTTTTCATTTGATTCTGCTAATGAACTTCTTCGAATCCTTCTTTCTTCTTCAATCCCTTCTTTGATCATACTAAATTCAATAACACAAAAAAACACGTACCCAAGCGATTCTCCAAACGCTGATATAAAACTCATTCTTCGAGCCAGATTTGCATCTAGAACTCCGGTCCTTGATAGCCAAAGAAAATGGTCAAAGAAAAAATAGACCATTTCCCCTGCGTTAGCAAAGACCGATAGAACCCTGTAAGTCGTGGTTGGGCCAGGGTTTCTCCTAAGGGCGTTGAAGCCCGTGAGAAACCGGCCAGTTCTAAAGGCTTTCCGGCTCAACCCTGATGCCACTTCGCACTGTTTGGCTCGATGGGCTGCGTTTGGATTGGTGGTTTCGAGATGCCAAACAAGGAGTTTAGAGGCATATTGGAAGGTTTTGACAAGCTTGTCAATCCCATCTCTTTTTGCCAGGAAGATCACTAGCTTGTCTACTTTGTCATTCATTGTGTGGGGTGAGGTCTAAGGGTAAGAATGTGTGTGATTTGTGGAAACAAATAATGGTGAGGGTGGCATGGAGAGCCACAAGTTAAGGGTAGTTTTGGATAAAATGAATTTATTTATGGATGGACAATATTATTTTTGATATATTATCCTAGAAATGAAAATTTTGTCGTCTACATATATTTCGAAATTATATAACAAAAAATCCAAGTAAATAAATTGTACCATTGTTTCGTAAATGATCTTTTAAGTATTTTGCAATTTTTCTTGTTTCCGTTTATGCGTTATCGGATTTCGGCGTTAGAATTGACGAAAAAAATGCCTTAAAAATTGGTTCACTAATCACTACCAAGACCATGTCATCATATGAAAATTAAGAAAAAATTATTTTTGTCAAAATCAAATTTCCTAAATTAGGAACAATATTCTTATATGACATGTACACTAGGCATTGGAGGTTATACATCTGCCTGGATATAACAAGGAATTGCTAAAATATATTAATGAGAAATCTCTTTCTAAATATAAAGGGCATGTCGGCATAAGTTTTTAAAAGTTTTTCTAAGCATTTAGTTGTATCTTTTAAAAAAAATTGAATTAAAAAACAGTTTAAAAATACAAAATTAAAACATTATATAAAACCATAATTTAAAATTTATTTCAAATAAAGTTAAAAAACTCATATATTATAATAAATTTATTAAATTATCGGCTGCAAGGCGCGTAGCAGGTAAGAACAACAGAAAGTGTTCCTGCACACAGGAACACAACACCGACCCTGTGAGAATGGGGGTGCGGGATAGGAATGGAGGAAAGAGACCCACATTCTTTCTCTTGTTTGATCGGTTAGATTATATATATATATATATATATATATATATATATATATATATATATATATATATATATATATATATATATATATATATACTAAAAATATTAAAATTTATGGTTTGTAATTCTCCACAAAATAAGTATAATATTTGTGAAATATATTTTTAAAAGAATAAAAAAAATAAAAGGTACTGAAAGGCGACAATTTCCTGCGTTTTGGTAAGGAAAAAAAAAGTGAGGGAAAAACTAACGTGGCAGACAAAAAGTGAAAGATTGTTCCCGTAAAGATCTTCAGGTCTAATCGTTGTCCTAATATATTATTTAGCATATTTCCTATTAGTAATCATTATCCTAATCTATTACGTGTTAAATAAATCACTACATGTTTAATTATATCAAATTGACTAGCAAACTTTTTTTTTTCATTATACCATTGAGTATGTTTTTTTATCACGGTAACTCGTTTCCAATCTACATAAACTCCACGTCTTGAGTATGTTTTTTATCACGATAACTCGTTTCCAATCTACATAAACTCCACGTCATCGGTTACGTCCACATATATAATGGTATTATGAACCAAAAGAAAAGTTTGTTTGCCAACTAAATACAATTAGAAATTTAGTAACAATAATTGTAATTCATACTATAAATTTACCATTAGAGATGTTTTAAAGTGCTGTTTGGCAGCATCTTAATTGTTAATATCTAAAATTTTAAAATATTTGAATTTCTAAAAGAGTAAATATTTAATAGTAGGTGTAAACCCGTGTATTACACAAGTTGATTTTAAAATAAAAAAATTTAAACATTAAATGTAAACAAAAAATATTTTTTAATATCATATATATATATATATATATATATATATATATATATATATATATATATATATATATATATATATATATATATATATATATATATATATATATATATAGACACACACACACACGTTCTCCAGGTCCAAAGGGATCCAGCGCCCAATTACCGACTCCTCCCGAAATTGCGTTATCGGAGCCGAGCCAGGAATGGCCGTTAGTGGACACCCACCTTCACCGGTTAGAGAGGCCCTCTTTAATACATTAAGAAAAGATGTTCACAGGAGCCAGAAAGACTCGGTCATAGGAACTTAGACCACCTACGTGCTGGTGAAAACCACCTCGACCGGAATATATATATATATATATATATATATATATATATATATATATGATATTTAATGTTTTACATATATAAGTATATGACTTTAATTTTAAAAATTGAAAAAAAATCAAAATTTGACAAGTGGATAATATTTATTTTAAAAATACCACAAAATGATAAGTATCAAAACTCATGAGAGATTGACATATGACAAAAAAAAACATTCATTTATTAAAGAGGATGTTGTTTAGTTGAAAGTTTTGAATTGTTGTGCTAAACTATAAAATGATTATTTTACTCTTCTATATTATTTTTTGTTCAATTCAATATTTTGTTTTATAAAAAGTAACTGAACCAACTTCTTAAATAATTATAAAAATAAATATAAAAACTATAAAATCCAAATTAAACATAAATAAAAAATAAACGCAAATCCAAATAAAACATAAATATTTTTAAATCCAAGAAATCATACTAAAATCCAAATAAATTCTTACAAATTTAATTTGAAGCAACTAAAAATATTTGCAACATTGAACTCAATCTAAAATCCAAATAAAATCATTTGATGGAAAAAAAAAGTTTAATTATTGATAGCAATAGGCTATGTTGAAAACCTCAATCCAGTTGCATTATAGCCATCTTACATAGCATACAATCAATCAAACCCTAATAAACAGTTACAAGTAAAAGAATTCATGAAAAATACATGTTAAAAAGTCACTCCATGCTCAAAAGACCTTCAGACCTGTAAATTACCACATATCTCCATCTTCTTATCCGCTTCAAATATAATCGTAGCTACATTTTACATCTTAATTTCATCATTTTAGCAGATAAACCAATAATATCATCAAATGTGGAGGAGATAAACAAATAATTTCAGCAAACAAACGATTTTAGTGGCAAACAAACATTTTCAGCAAAAAATAATAAGAAATCAACAATTTTAATCAAATATGGAGGAAAGCAAACAACTTCAACAAACAAATATAAGAAATCAACAAATTCTATAAGCAAAAAAGCAAGAGAAATAAGGAGATGTGATTTGTGACGATAGAACCGGAGATGTGTTGTGCAATGGAAATCAATTTCAAAGTCAGAGAAGAAACTTACCGGCAGTGTTGGTGGAGGAAGGCGTTTGAGTGGCAGCGTTGGCAGAGTAAAGCATTAGAGTGGTGAAGGAAGGCACTGGAGTGGCCTAGGTGGGGTTTGATGAGTATTAGGGGAAAAATCATGTACATTTGTTGCATTGATCGAACACGATGACGAAAAAGGAGTAGCCGGCAGCAGCGGCGATGGTTGGAGTGTGTGGAGAGGGAGGAGGTGGCGGTCGACGTGAAAAAAGGGAAGGAAGCAGCACCGATAACTTGTTTGTATGTGTGGATGGGGGGGGGGGGGAGAGAGAGAAAATGGAATCAATAGAAATAGGAGGCGTGGGTATGAGAAAAAAAAAGAGAAATTAAAAAATTTCCTATTTTTGTTCCTAGACATCCTCCTACCTAATTAAATGATAACATGTGTCATATTAGTATATTAAAATATCATTATATTTCATTAAATGAGCATTAAATGTTACATATATCACTATTTAATTTCATTAAATGAGCATTAAATGTTACATATGTCACTATTTAATTGGGTAGGAGGATTTGTAGAAATAAAAAATACGAGGATATTTAATTTCTCAAAAAAAAAAAAGAGGCATGTTTTATTATAAAGGCATCAACATCTTTTTTCTTTTTCAAATATGGGTATATGTTTGGATTTTTCAGATAAAATTATTCGATTAAGAGGTATTTTATAAGAGGCTATCAAACATGATATATTTGAATTTCTAAGAGGTTGTATCTTGATTTTTCAATTAAAAGGTAAACAAACAAGACCTAAGTATATTGTTTGTACCAATCCAAAAATAATGATAAAAATTTTCATTTTTAAAATTATTAAATCCATACATCAAGTGTTTCAAAACCATTCACAATGCAAATGTATCAAAATCATCAGAGTGAGATAATAATCATTGGTGCGGAAAATCATAAGGGATGTTGTGCACTCAAGTCAGACTCTTCCCTTTGAAACTGGAAGTACCTAAAAATGTTTAAATCACAAACCGTAATCACAAAGCTTAGTGAGCCCCCTAAGATACCACATACCATACACATTGTCCCAACCCAACATACAAACAGGCCCAACCCAACATGCATATAAATGGGCCCAGCCTAACATGTAAATGGGTCTAGCCAACATACATATAAATGTACCTAGCCAATCATATAGGTGAATGGGCCCAACCCATCATACCAATAAATAGGCCTGATCTGACATACAAGCAAATTGGCCTAGACCAACATACACATAAATGAGCCTAACCCAACATACACATGCAGGAGTCACAAAGACAACTAGCATCCTACAGAATATAATGAGAAGACTCACCTGACTCACGAGATCAGCTAAAACACAGTTCACTGCCACATGAACGATACTACAACACACATATTGAATCAAACAAGGTCCCGCCTTAGTCTAACCTCCAAAACTAGCCATTTTAATCAAAAGTCAAACTAGGTCAGCAAGTCAACAGTCGACACTTCCATTAGCTAACCCTCACGTCGTGACCAACTCATGATCACGTTGTAGAAAACGGATTTGACCCGGTCCTAACTCGATCACGATTCAAATCAGCCTCAACTCCACTTATTTTCGATCCAGGCCACCGTCATGTCATGATGGCCATGCCCTCACGTCGTGACAGAGCCAGTCCTAAATAATTGAGGAAATTCTCATCGTCACGTCGTGACTACCAAATGGCCACACCGTGACTTAAGCAAAATAGACAACTTAACACATTCAACCCTAAACTTAAAAGCCACACATTACAACTTTATACAGGGCCTTATAACTCCAAAATCATCCTAAAAATTGATGCCTTATGGACATGCATGTCCAATGCATGTTTAGATCTTACATTAGGTAAAAAATGAAGAAAAATCACCAAGGCTCACATATTTGGGTCCAAT